GGACAATTATCTTCTCAACATACTGTAAGAAATTCATTCAAAAATATTGAAAAATGGAGTGTCAGTTTTGAAGCAGCTGAACCCTTGTAAATGGCTTGAAACTCACTGCGTCGGAGCCGCCTTAAAGTAGCTGTCAGTCTTTGGTGTGGGGATATATGTAGCTGCTCTGATTTGTGTATCTTTCTTCTTAGTCAATGAAGATACAAGTTGTACACTGATTCGTTCATGCGCAGGAAATTGTTATAATCAGATGGTTCACGTCTTAATTCATTAACGAGATTGATATGGGTAAATCTATTTCTTCTCTTCAACCATTCCTTACACCGTTGTTTGCGTTTCTTTCGTCTGTTGCTTAGCAAAAATTACAAGAAATAGAGCGAGAAAGAGCAGATCATCTGCTGGAGGATCCATGATGTTAGCTGACAAACTTGACAGGTATACATGAAGAGTGTGTGTGTGCTCCTGGTAGTATCAGGTACACCTAACACGCGTTTGTTCAAGCGTATCGGATATTGTGTGGTCGGCATCACAGAAAACAATATTTTTCGCTCTGCCATTGGCGTCGCGCACGGTAAATCCACTTCAGTGTATAGGTACCAAATTTGAGTTCAATGATTCGAAATTCAGTTGCAGAGTTCAGTCGGGTCAAGCAGTACCAATTACTTTCCACAACGATAATTTCGTCGTCAAAGAGATTTCATGGATGTTACATAACAATCATAACTACGCGTTTATATAAACTAATTCGTTTACACCCGAATGTACATATCTATGAAACGTTATGTATTTAACAATGTCATTAAATTTAGCTGAAATTCCTTTGTATATTGGCTTTACGTAACGATTCTCCTGGGATAATGGATTTAGCTAATTGCGTGTGTGGCGTGAACAGATACTGAAAGTTCAAATTTGTACATACATACTGTTTACATGATTAGCATTTGCGGGATGTTAAATTGGTTGTTATTGAGACACTTAAGCCTTGATTTTCTTGGAAAAGATGCCATCATAATATTGACTGCCAAAGTAATCGAAAAAATATCTGGTGACAATCCAAATAACCGTATTTGGACAAATTATATTTCCCAAGACATCGCTGTTGTGCTTTTCTGACAATTGTTATACCGTGTGTAAAAGATAGCAGTATTCAAACAACATGAATTTTCAGACATAACAAACAATTGACAGTATTGCGGTGAATTATGGGGAATTACGACAAGTATTGATTTTTGTTACATTTTCATAGTAAAAACTACGAAAAATAGACTGTAGGTAGAGCAAGGAGTATCAAATGCCTATTTTTCAGTACCAGGTCTCTTTAAGGTGTAGATTTCTTTTTAACCTCCTGTTTGCAGCAGTATTCTAAATCCTTTTCATCTGATAATTTCATGGTGTGTATAGAGATGAAACAATGTTTTCATTTTTTTTGTCAAAAAATACATTGTTTGTGCTTTTCATTGGGAATCGGGAATTGTTAACAAATAATATAAGTACAGCTCTGATATTGTGTATGAATATTCCTCTTTTATGGAAGAATCACACGAGTGATTACTTTTGTTCTTATCACTTTTCCTTTCCGACAAATCTTTGATTTTCTTGAAACCTCGTCTCGCAGCAAGTTGAGTTCTCAAGAAGAGCAAAGATTTTTCGAAAAGGAAAAGTTACAAAAACAAAAGTAATCACTCGTTTCATTCTTCAAAAGGAATATTCAGACACAATTTCAGAGCTTATATTTGTTAAGAAGTTCCGAATGAAGAAAAAATAAAATGCACTAGAAATGCATTTTTTGACAAAAAAAGAAATCATTGTTTCTTAGTTATCTCTTTACATACCCTAAATTTATCAGATGAAAAGGATTTAGAATCAGTACTGCTCTAAATAGGAAGTTAAGGGGATAGGTCAACCACACACGTTCAAAATTCAGATTCTAAATAGCCCAGGAATATTAGGCTATGAAAAAATGTAAACTGAAGAGGTAAACTCGGTAGCTTTGCTCTAAAGTCACCATATATGTATAATCAGCATGATACTAATATAGTTTTGAATGCAAATGGTTGCTGCTCACCAACCTAAGGTAATTTGCAAAGATAAGGCTATTTAGTAGCCCTCAGCAAGAGCTGCCATCAAATGTTTATGATTGAGGATACTCACGGCCGAGTACACAACACGCTTAGTAGTATCGAATTTGGAACTGGATTGCAGGCCAAGGATTTTGAAAAGTGCGTAGCTTACTTTCCAATTTGCACTGTTTATTGTTTAGTGCCTATCGTGTTCAAAATGACGCCTTATCCGACATCTCATTAACTAGTGATTATAAGCACCAGTACAAGGTGGCCCATCCATGTGTGGACGGAATATTACTCATAAACAAATACATTTTGGGAAAATCTATTTATAGGATGTTATACATGAAATTTGAGGGCACATTTTTAAAATATTGGCCGTTATACAGGGTGTCCCAATTTCTACCTACATATCAAAGTTGTGATTTTTCAACTGGAATGCCTCAAATTTTATTGCATATTTGGATAAACCAATTCAAAAGAAGAAAATTGACTTAACATACTAAAGAGTTTTGGTAATTAGCTACTGAGATATAAGGTTATTCGTCTACCACTTCGGCAACCTCTCAGTTCACCATTTTGAAATTTGGAGTGCTGAATTTTATATCGAAGAAATCTTACACACCTCAGCTTTTATCTTATTTGTAATATTTCTCAAAAATTTCAAATGCATCACCCTGTACATTTGCGCAAGTTTCGATTCAATTTTTTATAAGTTTTTTTTCGGAGAGCAGGGGGTAGCAAATTTTTCCCAGGGTGGGGTTCTTAAAATTCCTCAAAATCGTACACAATCGTGCCAAATATGCAAATTTTAAGGACTAATCGGATTCCCAGGGGGGTCCACAGCCCCCTGTCCCCATTCTGCGGGCATCCATGAGCTGCACCAACAATCACAGATCAGTTGGACTTGAAGGTTAAATTTGCGACTGAAAGACCGGGCTTGAGAAGCAGTGGAATAAAACATCAATATGAGAGAAATCACAATAGTCACTTCTACTTCTCCAAAAAGTTGACGGCATTTTCTTTCAAGATTATCGAATATCAGTACCATTTTAATGACTCTCATGCTTCATTCATGATCCGTCCTTAAACTTCTGTATTTTGTTTGTCATGAGGATCGAAATAATGAGGGAAATTTTGTTGTGAAAGCGCATGTCAATGTTTCTAGAATTATCACAAGAAAAAGCGGTCGATTTTGTCTAGACTGCAAAAACGTGCGTAAATAACTACACGTATGTATAAAAAAGTATGAATATTTCCAAAAATCTTGACGCATATAGTACATGTTTGTGTACAAGCTATTATAACAGAATAAAAACTAAAAAAAAATCGAGGTTCCACCGAGATTTGAACTCGGATCGCTGGATTCAAAGTCCAGAGTGCTAACCATTACACCATGGAACCTTGTTGTCGTCTGAAGCCGACGAGCGCTACGTTTTAGAGCATCCGCTGATAGTACAGTCATCGTTGGTTGAGAAAATGATGTTAATATTACACGAAAAAGACGAGGCAATCTTTCCAAAGTTTTTCCCATCTATTCAGTCGACGAGCACTTATCCTTAAAACTGCCTTGCAGGATTGTTGAACAATATAATCCAATAACATACAAAAATAGGAATATTGAGAAACATCCACTTACTTGAAAAAGCTGATACAGGTCTATAGTTTCCAATGTAGGTATCCAGCTCAATTTAATTACCTACTTCGTTTCATGGAGGTAAATAAATTCTACTGTCTGTAAAGAAGTGGGGTCGCACGGTATTGAATGTGTCTACAAATAAAACAATATTTTGTATCAGCATGTGTGAAACTGGGATACAGAATATTGTAAAATATAAAAGATTTACATTTATTAATCCACTAAGCATTCATGACTTATGCTTTGTCTTTTAGAAACAATGAAACACTACAAACGGTAACGATCGATTATTGACTGTCAACAATATAGCAATTCCTCCATTTTGATTTTAATTTGGGAGCAACAAAACAAATATAATCGAAATTACAATTTCAAATCAGGTGGTGGGTGCGGTGGTGACGATATCTCTCATTTTTAGTAAGTGAAAGAAAAAATGCCTGGTTTCAATAAACATTGTGAAAATTGCAGCACATTAAAAAATGCCTCTTAATATACAGTATGCCACATTTCATTGAAATTTTTAAAGTAGTATTGCAGTTCTTAATAAATGAAGTGATTTATTTTTTAAAGCACTACCACCCTGTATCTCAAAAGTTGGGACGTTGTGGACATACCTTTTTTAGAAGTTTTCTCCACAAACTGGACTCAAAATCGTTCCCTTGAATATTAACAGTCAATTACCATACTCCTACAAGTTTTTTTTCGCGTATAATCATGGTGAGTTCTTGGGTGTCATAGGTACCCACTGAAAATACTCACTAGCTTAAGTTGTTAGACCCCTCAACCATTGTAAAGATGAAATTGGAATAATTTTTTCAAGAAAAAAGTCTTTTTAATATGATAATACATGATGACCCTTTTTTATAAACGCTATAAATATTATGTCGTATCTATAACATGTATTTGGTAATATACTAAAAATGAATGATAATATTTAACAATTGAGAAACTTTGTATTTGGTATGTGTTTTCTTTGAATTTCATGTATTCAATTATCAAAAAGTGTTTAATTACCTGTTCGTTAATGTAGATGCTTTAGAAAAAGGGGTCATCACGTATTATCAAATTATAAGAATTTTATTTTCTAGAAAAAAACTATATGGTTTTTTTTTTCTCGACAATCGTTGAGAGATGCACCTTACAAGTTGGGCGTATGAGTACTCTTACTGAGTACGTATTACACCCAAAAACTCACTGCGATTTAAATACCCCACACCCTTGCTGTCTCCATGTGAGAGTGACTATTCCAACAAAGAAAAAGATGCGTTCAAACAACTTACAGATTTTCTTCCTTCCAGAAATGTTTACCGTACGCTTATCAATAGCGACAACGTTGCTGGCTGTGATATCGAACCCATGTACCTGCGCCAACATCTTGATGATAACGATGGGTGGCACCAAGTCCCACAAGATTCCATTTTGGGAACTGGCCCGAGGCCTGATCCCAAGGGGTCACAACATCACCTTCCTGAACGCCTTCCCCGCAGATTTCTCCATTTCCGGATTGGAGGAAATCACACCTGCTGGTCTAGTCTTCTATGTGAAGAACTTCACTAATTGGGACCTAGTGGGAGCGAGGATGCGAGGTGAAGACCCTGTCCATCCTTTGGATATGCTCAGATATGCACACGAGGTGAGTCAATGAAATCAGCTAGTAATAGAAAAAAGGATTGGAAAACCTCGAAAATATACCTTTCCTTCAATTTGCCGGGAGCTTCAATGGAGCTGGGTCTGATAAGGTGACGGTAGAAGCTTCACAAAGTATGCCTAAATGAGACTAAGCACATTGGAAAACAAAGGAGAAAACAGGATAGGCCCTTCCGCATTTAGCAAGAGCTCCGAGGGTCACATTCAGGATCCTAACGGCCATCTGAGTAGAGAACATGTAAAAACCCATAATATGAAATTGATTATGTTCAACCATCCCCCCTTTCTAGATATAGCCCTGGGGCGGCTCACCTTATTCAATATTACCAACACAACAGATTTCAATAGATGTCATCAGTAACTTGCCTCAATAGACGTCAAAACGTATATTGAAAATGGTATATAGGTATACGGAATAGAATCTTTCACTGTTCTCAATAATTCACCTACTAATTCGCCGGAGGATTGGCAATGATTGCTTCATTCTCTCAACAATTACAATGATTGCTGGGAGCGCAAAATTGTAGCTGGCACTGAAAATCAAAGCTTACATATTACGAATACTTGGGTCACTGAATCGAAAACATTCCATACTCATAATTCTCATGCGGTACTCGCAACCTTCACAAAACCAGACTTTTCTTTAAAGAAGGGTGGTGACGGCGAAGCTGAAGGCGCCCTGCTCGCGTATTATATTAAAATTGGAAATATGATAGTTGAGAGAGGGGCGCCTTTGGCAAGATGACACAATGTGCTCATATATTGTCTAGAATGAAAAGGGCTCGATAAAATGACATTGATATCGTTAAACATTTTTATTGGAATTAACAGGTTACAGAAAAATTAGTTGAAGTCAATAACACTGTTCAGCAAACAAGTTGGAAAGTTAAACAGGGCATGTGCCACGCAAGAACTGGAAGATCGTACGTCAAATATAAAGGAAACAGTAACAGCAGTCCTCTGTAAGAGGGGCATAATTAAGACAAGAATCGACGTAATGAATGAAGTTACTGAACTGGTGGACAAAATAGAGTCCTCAAGTGTCACACACGACAAGATATCAATTTTGAGTTGGAAGTACAACAGTGCTAGTGAGAACAGATCTTGTAAAGTTGCGATAATTTCTGTACCTACACATTGATTCACGTCTAGTATCTCTTTTCAAAGTCGATTTTAACATTTATCTTTGTGTTCTGTGTCTTCGGGTAGAGTGTGTTACCTGATCAATGGCATAACAAAACTCTACAAACACAATGCCGGATGGTGAAGTGTTTTATTCATTCTATTTTGTTACACGGCATAGAAGTCTGGACATTAAATATTGCTCTCTTGAGGAAGCAAGAAGCCTTTGAGATGTGTCTCTTAGGAAGTGTGTTAAAAATACCATAGACAGGTCTCGTTTAGAGTGAAGGAATCGAAAACAAAATCGAAAACTGTTAGCCACAACTAAAAGACGTAAGATTGCTTAAGCTGATCATAAAAGGCGAAATTTGGGGTAAACGGGATTTTAAAAGGAGGCAAAAATCCTGCCTGGGAAATATTCGTAACTGAACTGAAAAACGGTACTGTGCAGGAATGAATTTGGACTTACTATACCCAACCTGGTCAAGGTCACATTTTGGTGACCTCTACAAAGCTCACAACTTTGCTGTCGAACCTCTTTGCTAGGGCAACTTGTTTTCAATATGTTGATCTGACCTTGAAAGTCACGGTCAGGTAATATTTGTACCCAAAGTTTCCTCATTTTTTGCAGTTCCGGTGTAAACATTGGGAGTTACATTTGAAAATATTTGTTATATTCTGAAAATGAGCTTGACGGTCGCGGTCAGGGTCATGGTCACCATTATTTTGCCTCCTCGAAACCTTACAACTTGTATTTGAAACTTTTTTCTAGGATGCCTAATTTTCCAAATATTTAGGTAGGCATATCAGTTTTATATGAAAAATACATTTCTAGCAATGGCAGAAACGAAATCCTTGATCTGAAAAACCGGGAAGGGGTCGGGGTACAAAACTTATTTCATTACTGTTTTCCACGAGAATCGGACCACTCCGCGTTAGTAGCATAACTGCTGGTATCTGTTCACTTCGCAGCAAACAATCGTGCCTCGGAGTGTGTAAAATCACGGCGGCCACTATTCCCCGGAGCAATTACCTCTTCCAAACGTGAAGCCGCGAAAGAGTGGCGAATGCAACGTCTTGAGAATAAATTATTAGGCAACATAAATAAATCTACGTCTTGGATACATGACTTGAAAATAGAACTCCTAGACTGCCTGAGAATTCCGGGATGCAGTTGAGTTTAGAAACTATTTTAAAGTAGTATAAGTACGCTAATAGATGGTCCCCGTAAGGCTTAATTTGTAACAAGACTTTCGGAATAATTCCTGGATTATATCAGAAAAAAGTTAATTAATTTGGTGTTTTAACAATGCAATCAAGTCGGGGTGAAGCACCATTTAAAGTCATAAGGTAATAAATGTGACATTCAGAACCTTACTTCTTACTTCCTACGCCAATGTGAGCCTGTCTGTCCGCTAATCTATAACCTGGGAAGTACTGCTCGAATTTTGATGAAATTTCACACAATGGTACTAATACGCCAAGAGCGATTAGGCTCTATACTTTTCAAAAATTAGTCCATTCGCCACGCAGAAAAAGACCACAAACAAAGAATTAAAATCGCTTTGTTTTTTGAATCTTCTTGAGATCCTGATCATTTTCAGAAAAATGTTTGCAGGGGTTAAAGGTTGGACGTAGTGGGTTGTGGGGGAGTGTGTGTCAATTGCAGCGTAAGCAAATAAATTGATTGTATTACTAAATCTAATTTAGAAATAAATAAATATGTGAGTTCAGGCTGCTAAGGCACCTAGCAGGATCCTGTCAAGTACTTTTTATTGGAATCAAATTTTAATTGTGTGGTTTGTGCTTTCTTTGGTGGTCGGAATTTTGTTATTATTTGTACAGTTTTAAAGTTATCCTCAAGTGAATTGAAAGGACGAAAGGGGGATATTGGTACTGTTCACTATGAAACTATACTCTAGCCATTTGACTAATTTCAAAAAATTTCCAGTCATGTGATGCACTTCTGTCCGACACCGAAACAAAATCCCTTCTCCACGACAGCACGAAGTTCGACCTTCTGATCCTGGACGGAGCCTTTCCAGAATGCGCTCTTGGCTTCGCACACTACTTCAAATTGCCCTTCATGTACATCAACACTGTAGGTTTCTACACGGGCAGCCTGTCCTTAGCCGGCAACCCTTTGCTGTACTCCTTCACCCCCTTCCTGTCGATCGACCTCACGGACGATATGGACCTTCTGCAGAGGACTAGAAATACCATGTGGTATATGGCGGCTAACTTGTTGCATAGTGTTACGGTAAGTTGACCTATTATTTATTTATATTTGCTCCACAGTAAAGTGTTAGAGTTAATTTGGAGCATAGTAAGAGGAGCAAAAGCAAACAGCAGGCAGCCGAAACGTTACTAAAGTTCGAGTTTGGGAATGTACGACCATAATTAGACCAGACAGGTGCGATCTCTATACAGGGTGCCCTGAAAGTTGTTTTTCGGTGCCGAAAAATGGTCAAAATAAGATTTATGCTTATTGGAAGTAACATGAAAAATAGTGTCACTCACTTCCGTCGTTCTGCCTGTCTCTCCGCTAATCCTTGCTTTGGATTTGATGAAATGACACAAAGCTACTACTATGCCAGTGACGAAACAGCTTTGTAGTTTTTGAAAGATAAATCAGTGGGAGCGATGTTACAGACAACAAAAGTGAAAAATAAGAATCGCATCTTCGTTTTCTGACATTTAGATGCACTTATATATTTTTAGCCATTGAATGTCGTAGCCCCTAGCTACCCTTTATAGGGGATAGTGGAGGGTTTATCCCAGTGTTTTGGTTGTAGTATAATCATACAGTTCCAGGTCCGGTAATTCTACGCACCAATTAGTACAGATTTCACACATCATTTATTGTCCTGTACAATTCTTCTTAATATTTAGAATGGTAGAGCCAGGCGTCTCTGCTTCTGCTTTCTGGATTCACCGTACGGTGTGCTGAGATGATCGAAATTATACAGAAATATTCTTATGGCATCGCAACGTCGATATGGATGTGCATACTTGTGGTGGTCTCGCGTCTAACCGCTCACCGCTCATCGCAGGTACTGGCTCATGGCTGACTAGCGTTACTCAGTGATGCTGCTAAATGGTCAATACTGTCGGTAAGGTTAGGGAGAAATTTCTAATTCGCAGAGCTTTCAAATAGGTCGAAACCATGGACTCATTATATAGACGTCAGAGGAGTTAACTTGTGCTGAACATAATCCTCTATGAACTGCTGACAGCGTTACGTAGGAAGGACAGAGTCAATCTACTTAACGCCATTTTGTGGAAGAAACTAAGTTCTACCGTCCCGTTACATGTTCCCTATAAATATACTCTATTTGTCGGTGTCAGAAACGCATGTTTGTTAACTTTCCCCCAATTTATAACAATTTGAGGTCTTCCAATGTGACAACATTGACATTCCTACAAATGGCGTTTGTACCAGATGAATAAACCTGCACTGCGTAGGATGGAGGTATCCAGGAAAACAATCTAAACATGCGTAGACATATTGCTCATGGCACGTGGCTCTTGTTTTGGCGACTGATGTACGCAGCAGCTTTGTGCATAATCATATGCTAGAGACAGGGCCTCAGTAGCATCGCAGATTTTTGTTTTTGGAGTTAAATGTTTTGGTTAGTATGTGTTAGTAAGAAAATTTTGTTATTATTACAAAAACCCTAAGTTGTGTAAAGGTAAGTCACAACTCTCAGAACACACTTGGGGTTTGCTGTAATGACAGCTGTTACTAGATAGTGCTAGTGTTGGTAGATTTAATGAATGAATTTGAAGTTAGGAAATATTTGAATTTCAATATTCTTCTCAAATGCAGGGTACCTAGCCCTAAGCTATTTAGACATGACTGCTAACCCAGCTAGCGCCATCTACTTCTATTTTTTTCAGATTAACAACCCCCCTCTCCAACGACAAACTTATAGGGTCTCAAGAGAAATGATTTATTGTTTTCAAACGGCTTGGCCCTTTAGCTTTTCTTACTATAGCTTCATAGCCTAAAGCGTGGTCCTAACTGGTCTATTCTTACTCTTGCTACGTTTTGTATGTCCTACACAAATCCAGTGTTTTATTGTTTTGTAAATATGAAAATGACAACGAAATTGCTTTTGAAATATCAATTGAGAATGAGATTATCCCACACACACACAACATGCTGGGTACTTAGCACTGACTTTGGACAATGACCGAAGATTTAGAAAACACGTTGATAGCTGTACTAGCCGCTGTTATTGTGGACTCAAATTGTTGTATCCTTACCGCCATTTTTCTTGACACCAACCTTGAAATATTACTGTGTGATACACTGTGATTTAACAATTGTAACGGTGTGTATGAGCCCTGTCCGAGGAACTCGACAGTGGCAGTACACAAAAGGTGGTAAAGTTCTATCTTAGATTTATTTTTGTAGCGCGGAAATATGAGCTTGAATTTCGTGACACAAGATGGCTGAACATGGATAGGAGACGAGAACTTCATTCAGCTATTCTGTTTCCTAAAATAATATCCTACAAAACACTACCGTACCTGTACAATGAAATTGCGTCTCGCAGATATTTATGTTCATGATGTTAATGTTAGGCTTAGAGGCCTTATTTCACAGCCATCATATAAATCAGCTATCTTCACTTTCTCTTTAATTTTTGTCGATTGTACAACAAAGCTCCCACATATATCAAAAAAGCTCCAATGTCAACTTTGAAATTTAAATATAAAATGCTCCTTGACTCCAGGTAGTCGAGCGATATTATGTGTATACTCTATTTGAGTTGTCTGTATAAATGATCTAGATGATTTTAGATTGTTTGTTATCATTCGATTTTGGTGATGATTGTTATTTGCAATTACCATGTACTATACTAAGTGACATTTAAATCCGAACACCCAGTCTAAACGGTTTTATTTCAATAAAATTTTGTATAAGTACTTAGTGAAGCATAATAAGTAAATGATAAAAATTTCAGAATGATTGCACTGCTTTAAAGCCCTTTGACCTTTAATAATGTGTGGATGCACCCTGATGTGCTACGCATTCTCCAACGCGCCTAGGCATGCTTCTGATCAGGTGGTCAATGTCCTCCTGTGGTATCTCATTCCAGGCAACTACCAACTCCTCTCGAAGTGCTTCTAGAGTCTGAGGAGGATGTTGCAAATTGAGCAATCTCCTACCCATCATATCCCACACGTGCTCAATTGGGGATAAGTCGGGAGATCTTGGGGGCCATGGTAACAATGTGACATCATTATGTTGAAAGAACTCTCTTGTGACTCTTGCAACATGTGGTCGGGCATTATCTTGTTGGAAAGTTGGATCTGCCAGGGTGTCAAGATAGGGTAAAAGATGGGGTTCTAGAACTTCGTGGATATAACGCTGCGCGTTCATGTTACCTCTGATGAAGATTAAAGGTGACCTGGAACCATAAGCTGTAGCACCCCAAACCATAACTCCAACAGTGTGATGAACACGTCTTTCAACAAAAAACTGTGGATTCCTCCTTTCACCACGTCGCCTTCTAACCCTGGCACGACCATCGTGCATGCCTAAACAAAATCGAGACTCGTCACTAAAGACAATACTGTTCCATTCCTGATCCCAGAGTGACCGTTGTCTGCACCACTCAAGGCAATTACGTCGGTGTTCTCGAGTTAAAGGGACGACCCAGTGTGGCCGGTATGAAAACAAGCCAAAACTTCTCATTCGTCGGTAAACACTTCGCATGCCAATAGGTCTTCCGTGTTCTGCAAACCATTCATTTGCAATGGACCTGGTAGTGGAGAAACGGTCCCTTAAGGCCAATAATCTTAGGCGGCGATCTTCACGGTCTGTTGTTCTACGGCGGCGTCCAGTGCCCCTTGCTCTTTGCGTACGGGCTTCTCGAAGCCATGCTTGACAACACCTAACCACAGTGTCTACACTTCTTTGCACTCTAACTGCAATTGCCCGAAAAGAAAGTCCAGCTTCCCGAAGTCCCACTATACGGCCCCTATCAAACTCACTAAGTTGACGAAATCGTACAGGTCTCCGTACTCTAGGCATCGTAACCGATCGTAAGGGATGTCAAGAACCAAAATCCGCCAACGTTGATTCTTTACTGCGGCGGAAATATTCATTTTTAGAGCGTTAGTGAATTAAAAAAAAAGCAGTATAAAATCCGGAATGTTCAACTGATAAAGCTGAAAATTTTTTCACTTGTTATTTACAGTAAGATAAATACATTCACCAACTTTTATTAAAATAAAGCCATTCAAACTGGGTGTTCGGATTTATATGTCACTTAGTATATTTTAACGGGCTATGATGATAGGGCTCGTAAAATGATCAGTCGTAAGCTGCGCACTGATCCCTTTTGCTGTTTTTTTTTTGCTTCTTTTATTTTAGTACAAATATGCAATTCTTGATACTGATAGCTAAAACGAATCCTATTATTATTATCTTGAACTAAGCTATGGACTCACAAACCTATACCCATGAATAACTTCAGAAACCGATTGCATGTTCTTCTCACTCCAGGTCAGATGGTTCGTGCAAGACGTGGTCAGAAAACATTTTGGCGACGATGTTCCGCTCGTGTACGACCTTTCGAAGAACGTCAGCTTCATTTTACAGAATGGTCACGCTACAGTGACTTACCCCCGACCATTTTTACCTAATGTTGCGGAAATAGCATGCATTCACTGCAAGAAAGCAAAACCGCTACCCGAGGTGAGTGAAAACAAATGACATTTATCTAATATGAGTAAACTACTCGTAATCGTGGGGATTTGTTACAGATCATTGAGTCTTCCTTGGAAGCCTATCGAACCACATTATTTCATATCTACATAGCCACAGCCTTTTCTTATATTTCGGGATGGTGTAAAATACTTTGTATGAATGTTTCTTTGGTTTACATGGGGTAACTATCTTCAAAAATGTCGATAAACGCTGTCCCAGTGGGTCATCAATGGAAAACAGTGCTTTGGATCTTCCACTTTCTGAAAGATTTGGGCTTCAAAACATTAAAACTGATATCACACTTACAATCATCAGTTGAACTAGAAGATGTTCCAAGTAGTGCTTTTAAGAATTCCACAATGTAGCGACTATGCTATACAACAACATTTGCACCTGAAACTTCACTCAAAGCTATCTACAAAATATCTTACATGCTTACCAATAATTTTGTAATCGTGACAGGATTACTTATTTCCAGCACCTGGAAGAATTCATCAGAGGTTCAGGTGATGCCGGTTTCATCTACTTCAGCATGGGCTCATCGGTGAAGGCAGCAAACATGCCTGTTTACTTGCGAAAGATGCTAATGGTCGTGTTCAGAAACCTACCCCAGAGGGTGCTGTGGAAATACGAAAGTGCTGATGATATGTCGGATCTACCGTCCAACGTCCTGCTGGAGAGGTGGCTTCCCCAACAAGATATTTTGGGTAGGTTCATTGTCAAGCATTTTGCTTGGTCAGCTTACTCACGGCTTAGCTAAGGCATTTTTGTTATCGATACAGATAACTTGACTAGTCTCGTTTTTCCTATAGTCTTTCGGGTGCCTTTTTGGCTCTCCCATTTTCCAGATTGAAGGCCAATTTCACCAACAAGAGTCCGTTATTCTCCACCTATAGGGTAACAGCAACCAATAGCTATGAAATGTTGAAAACAAAATACTGTCAAAGTATGAGATGACAGCTTGTCATTGAAACATCACCAGCTTGTCGAATATTAAGAAATTACAGATAATTCAGTCAAAATTTAAAGAAATATTGGATTTTTGAATAAAATTCATGTTTTAATTACTATTGTTGATTTTTTATTCATGTTTAGATTATTTTCTTCAATTGATATGCGATACTGGGTATTTTTTCCTATAAACCTCTAGCAGATAGCCATTAAGCACCTACTTGATGACAGGCTCTACCCAAAGATATTGCTCGTTTCCAAACATTCATTCATTTACTTGCCATTTATCAGAACCATTATGGCACCTAAGATTGATATTCCCACAAAACCATTTAGGTTTTTTGATATCCATAAATCCATAAAGTTGAATATTTTTCGTTGTTCAGGAACCGAACAAACACCCACACTATATTAACAGCGATTAAGAAACTCCCAAATATATGCCTTAAAGCTACCAGCAAGCTTAAAACCTGCAAAAAAACTACAAATTTGCCATATTTTTCTTTTTCCACGAGTACACATTCTAGGTTATATTTTTATTAAACATTATCTGAATACAGCTGATTATTGCATTTCAAGGAGTAACACATGTGTGGGATCTGTCAACTCTTGGTACCAGTCACAAAACATATACTCTGAAGGTTTAATTCCATGGTATTCACGGTGACTTGTGTGGTTGTCAGCGGCCATTTTGTGAGGGGTGCGACAGGGTTGCCAGATTGTGCATTAATATCCCGTTTCACCCTCCTGGTCCCAGTGGAGTAAGTTCCGCCACCTGTTGAAATATACTCTACTATGCTTTATAAGACTATTCTTTACATTTTCCCAAAATCATTGCACAACACTTGAAAAAATGCAAATGGAAATTTAAAATTATTTCCATGACGCCGCAAAATAACTCCGTCGATACCTTGGGTTATACATCTTGACAGTAGGGATGTTCGATACGATCCTATATTTAGCAGTATCAATACATTTCACGAATATCGTCATCTTTCGATCCGGACTGTGTCAGAAAGAGTGACTGCCATTTGGCTGCGATATTACCCTGCCAAATCAGACATATCTTTCATCATTTTTAAAGAAATTGTACAAAATCTTCAAATTTGTGAGGCTAACGAGTTTCACTTCATACGTTGTTACCAGACATGCCCAAATCATCAGTTGCTGCCGTGATATTCATCCCGACCACTGCATCCCCACGGCTAGGCGACCTGTATGTTAAATTTGTATTGATAGGGCAGCGGGTTATGCTATAAATCATATGTCACATTGTTTGTGCACTGATTGCATCGGTTAGATGATACCAAAAATATTTTCATAAAAAGGAGATCTTTCCCATTCTGGATCGAGCAATCTATCAAAGATTCTTATAATCATGATACCTAGTAAATTTTCAGGAAAAAATTCAAAACCAGCAAATGTAAAAGATTCATTTCGCACCCTCCACCACGGGACGTGATCGTCGTTAGACTTGGCAACCCTGCGAGTTTCAGATAGATGTCCCCGCCAGTCAAAAAACGACAAACAATAAACATTACTAGTTTTTATGATTTTTGGACTTAAAAGACATTATTTGTGAAACATTTTTCATATTTTTTTGTCTATGTCCATAGTAATTGCATTATGCATCAGGGAGATGTAGGGTTTGACACGTCTTACACATATTATCTGTGTTTTAGGATAGAGAGGGCATACTGTTTTTATTGCTTTGAAGAAATTCATTAGCCCATAAATTAATAAATGATTACTATTATGGCGTAAAGGAAGATGAGGAATTGGATGGAATGTATTTTATATTCTATTTTCTTGCAAAATACAGACAAATCCACACTATTCAACAGGTATGTAATGATAACTTTCAGTATATTGAAGTTGGTAAATTCGAGAGTGCCATGAATTAACAAACGTCCAAATCTGCTGCCAAATTCAACCGCTAGAAAATGGACCTGTTATTTGCCGCATTCCCATTCTCTGAGAGGGATAACGGATTGTTAAATGTAAACCTATAACATATATCAAAATACATGAAGGTTGTCCTGTTTTTTCTGTACAAAAGCATCATTTTGGAATCAAAAAGTGGTCTTGTTTATAATACAGTCGAATTTTCACGATTTTATTCAATATTTCAATAGAAATCACTAATATTCAGAGACTTTTGACAGTTTCTGTCAAATCGCATTTCGATAAGGTATTTTCCCATTGGTCCATAATATTAATGTTGGTGAAATTGGGCCTAAGTTTACCATTCTCTTTCCAGATACATATTGCGCTTTTAATTATTTTTATCTAATTACCTTGCTCTTATTTTTCTACTTTTCTTATCATTACAAATCTACGATGAAACAAGGACCACATAGTTCCCTCAGTGACCAAAATAGGAGGCACCGAAGGCACAATCTGCAAGGGGAAATAAGCTGACACAGACGAGACAAAAACTGACCAGGGAACATGTTAAATCCTAAGCATAGTATATCAATTAGGGATCACCATGAACACTGGCAATCAGGGGTCACTCAAGGCATCATGGAACCCTATAGTGGCATCTGCACTGATTTGGAAATGTCCACAATAACTGAACACACTGACGGAACACAACAATGTAACTTTGATGTGGGAGCCAGGACATCCACTCTTGATGCAGGCATGGGAAAGAATTTACCTCAGAGCCATGACCGAATACGGCAGCAGATCTGAGTAGAAACCAACTCCGTGTAGTTACAGGCCTTCTAATATGACATAAGTTCGAGGAGCAAGGTACAACAGGCCCAAAAAGCTGCAGTATCATGGAGGACTTGGTCTGACGGCTCCCGAAGGGAAGAATCTAGTGAAAAGACTAGTAGAGGGAGTTGTTAATCCTCCAAGCCTACTGATAATATTGATGAAACTATTGTAAAATGCTGACTGTAACAAAATGCTAAACTGAAACAAAAGGCACAAAAATTATTTTATCAAAGTAATCTTAAAGTATCTACCCAGCCATTGTATACTCAAGGGTGCTTCGATAAGACTTCAGTTAATTAAAAACTGCTTTTCTTCAATAAAGTTCCTTGGGGTTCAAGAAGTTCATAAAGCCCATTACTGCCTTTATCAGTCCAGCTGCTTGTTCCGTACATCAACTTTAAGAATTCGGCAGTGTTAGAATTATACTCAGTGACACAGAAAAGAGAATATTTTGCTTACAGTTAAACATAAACAAGAGGTAGTCGTGATTGAGTTTAGAAGTTTGAAAATTTGCTAGATTTTGGTGGTGGTGTGTTCGACCACCTTGAAGCCATAGTTTAGGAGTCCGCGCGTCCTTCTTAAAAAGGTGATTTTATGTCTTCTTGAAGTATCTTGTCTCGGGTTAACCATGCGCGCTTGCTAAGAGCTACTCATATTGGTGGATGATCATCGTATCACACATGTTCAATTGGCTTACGGACTGAAGATCTAGGAAGCTAAGGAAGAAGGTTCTCTTGACCGTTATTGGGGCAGTTTGCTGTAGCTCTACCAATAGATATGGTGAAGGATAAGTCTCTAATATGACCTCCTAGTGGAAACTAGAGGTGACAAATGAAATGGTGCCTCAAACCATTACCCCTATAGTATGTTGCAAGTGACATTCAAATACAAGCCTTACATCATGTTTTTCTCCGCGACGGCTGCTGACTCGAGGGCATCTATCATGCACCCTCACAACAGAGCTGAGACCGGGATGATGAATTCTAGTATATTGTTTTAATGACGAATCTCTGTTCGGTAGTGATAAATAATGGAGAAGCACGGGTCAGAAGGCGTCATGGAGGAAGGCGGAGTGTAAAGTTTTCACGTCACGTGCAGCATAGTTTAGCAGCTAGGGATGAGAGCGCCGTTAAATACGGTACTGAGTCACTTCTAGTATTCATTAGAGGAGGCAACGGTACGTTCAGGAAATAGTGCAACCCTACTTTTTCCAATCGTCGAAACGCTTGGAGACCCTATTTTCTAACAAGTTAATGCCCGTTCCCATAATACTAGAGCCACAAGGAATAGACTACGGCAATAACAGTCCGTCTCTTTCCTTGACCTTCTAGATCTCAAGACCTTTCGCTCACTGAACATGCGTGAGATATGATGGAAAGACGAGTAACAAACTCTTACAGTTTTCTACAAACAGGATGAGGTACCTGAAGAAGGTATAAATCACCTCATCGAAAGCATGCATTGGGTACGGAAATCCGGCGATACAGAAAATGTTTCCACTTCCAAAAACATTCTCTACTTCCTCTTGCTCATGTCTGCAAAACCTCGTTCAAATAAAATCATTCCTACTGGGTGTTCCATTTTCTTTGTCACTGAGTACACATACATAAAACGAATTGATTTCTTGAATGCTTTGAGGTTTCTACATCGGAGGCTGCTACAGTAGTAAACCACAGATCACCAGTGTCAGATGCAAAAACGTATGTTGGTGAAATATGGGCTCTTGATTGACTAGCTACGTTGTATAGCGAATCTGGGTGACTGCAGGTCAGATACACGAGTCAATCTGGCGAAGTTATGCGCAATGATTCAATCACAGTGCTGCATACTATTATGTATGCTGGTACGCTACATTGCCCTCCTGGCGTAAACAACAATTTACTATTAGTACAGTCATCTTAAGCTCACTTTAAGCAAACTTTACACCATATTTCAACATTGCTCAATATATTGCATCAGGAGGTACCCAATTTAATTGAAAGCGTACTCATCGTGGCGCCACCAACCACCTATGCATATAGCTACATACAGGGTGTCCCCCACATTGAGTTGCAATCGATTACTCGAAAGAGAAATACAAATATGAAAATTTGGGGGTATAGTGTAAGAATTGAAAACAATTCAACTAAAACATTAAAATGCTGGCCTTCCGGTTGTACCGCGAGTGGATACCAACTTGCTCATTTTGAATGAAACGCCTCGTATGTTATTAAATTTTTAGATTCTGCTACATTCCCAATACTTATATGTATAACTGTTCTTACATGTCTCAAACTTTACGTAAGAAGTGATAAATGCGGAGCAACAAATTATAATATAAATTTTTTCGTATATAGCAAATTATGACAATTTTAACGTTTTGCGTTTGCTTACGATTTGTTTATAGAATTGTAGACCTGATTATTCCAGGATAGTGTTTGGTAGTCAAAAAAAGAATGAAAGCTAGACATTAAACATAAGGCTAATTCTGTATAAGGTTGTCTACTTCGCAATATGGCCTATCTATTTGCTTAAATGCTCCATACGGCTTTTTCTATAAAATAGTATCAATTGGTCATGAAGGAAAATATTAAGGGCCATGGCCAACTGAGACCAGCTGATCGAGAAAGGCGCATCGAGCACTTAAGCATATATCTGAGAAATTGCTAATTTGCGAAATAGACAACTGCGTACATAGTTAACCTAAAACAAAGAAATCATAAAAAGGCAGTTTCTATTCTCAGAAAATTAACTTTTTGGATTTTCGAATCCCAAATTTCACACTCTTTTCACCATCCTTCATTCTTTCTCATCCTAATCTGGAATAAAATCTACTAGTTCACCTATTATGAGAAAATCGTAGCTAATCATATAGCAAAGGCAAAAATATACGAACAATTTTAACAGTTAATTGGCCTGAGATATCTCGAACACGATTCCGGATCTTGCGTACGATTAACGAACTGACTAGTACATAGAATATTCTATTTAAGGTACGCAAGTTGGTTTAGGTAAACTAGTAGAGTCTTGATTTTGGAAATATTCCAGCTGAATTGCTCTCATGAAGTACACCGCTGCAAGTTATTTGGGACACCCTGTATGCGTTGGCCACCTCTTTGTGGTGTCAGCGTTGCTACCTTCCGGGTTGTACCATCATGAAAAGGGATGTCCTTTTCCGTCGTTGAGAGATTCTGACAATACAAAATTCTAGCAGTGATTACGAGAGAGGTCGAGGTGTCCTTTGCTTGTAAAGCTAATGGCAGGTTCAAGAATACAGAACTTTAAACTGAGAAATTGACAATATTGATGTGAAGATGGTAAAATGTAAGCATGTAATATGACATAGAGCTGGGCGCCTTCTTGGAAAATATATTCATCAATGACTAGTCATAATACGTTAATACTTGACATAACTAATAATGTACCTGAAGATAGCGTTTGAAGTAATCGAACGTCGTATTTTCAATAAATGCTGTAGTTGTTGAGTGTATCGTTATACCTAAGATCACCGGACTATTGCTTTGAACGTAGCAGCATCATCAGTGCAGTGCAGTGACGGGAGGAAGAGTTTTAACTCTTTTATTAAAATTGTATTTGCATTGCGCAAACGAGGACTCCGGGCAAGCTGGTTTCACTTTCTTTTGTTGTTATATCAACGGAAAATTACACAATGCACTTTCTTTTCGTTCAGCTGTTTCGATTAATGCAAAAAAGAACCAGTTTATTACCTCTTGGCGTGACATATAACGACGTCTTTTAACCTAAAATCGCTAGCTCATTAGGACAGCCACGCTGCCTGATTCATTATGCAACGTTTGTTATTATAAGAATGGCGTATTTCTATAATTGGTTATCCAGTACACGTGGTTTGAGGAAAGCTTAATCACAGAAGGAATTAATTTAGCATAGGTGTTGTTAGTGAAGTTCAAAACCGAGGAATTCACTGTAGCAACAGATACGTAACATGACTACTTCTTTTTTTATCGCACATAAGAGATCTGGGAAACGAAATGGCACAAGTCTGATCACTTCATTTCCCATGCTTAAAGTGATAAAAATTTCAAAATTAATTTTGGGTAGCAGTTGTTGATGTACAAAACCGATGAGGTGACTGATTCACAACAGATGTAATCCGATTTCTTACTTTTCATCGCTCTAGAAGATTTGGAAAATAAAATTTCTAGTCTAGCCTAGCCACCTCAATTCCCTTGCAGAAATTAATAAATGATAAATCTGTTATTCCATCTTCAGGGTTCAAACCTTGGTCCATCATTGTTTATCTTATTTGTCGATGATATTGTGCAATATTTAAGTTCCATCTCCTCTTTGCGGATAAGTTAAAATTATTCAGGGTTATTGAGTCTGAGGGTAATTTAATTATAATATTGGGAATGTTTACGAAAATCAATTAAGGATTTGGGTGTAGTTTTTGACCATAAGCAAAAGGTGAGTGAAGCTTCACGAGCATACGGTTTTATTGTGGCAAACTGCAGAAGTTCCAGAGTCGCTGTTGGTTTTGTATTCTGCAGATATGAGATCTAAATTAGAATATGCATCGTTAATTTGGAACCCAATTTATCATTGCTACAATGATAAGCAATTTATGATATGTTTCTCACTTGAATGAAGTATCTTTTTTTGCGTCTTGGTGTGTTGTTGCCCTTTAGATGGAATCACTTGCTTTCTGTATTGTAGCGTTTTTCTGGGTTCTTTTGGATGTGGATTATAACACTGGATTCCATAAAAAGAAATGCACTAATTTATTTATCTTGTCTACATAGAACATTTATTTACTCCAGTATTTATGTCTAACTAATTCTTATACTCCACTCTGCTCTACTCTTCTGTACTCTGTTCTTTGCCCCCATCTCCTGGCCGCCGAGTTATATATAGTCCCCATCGCTGCTCCGAGAAAGGTCTGGCGAGCCACAAAGCGGCATGTAGAACATTCGAGGTCTCTTCGCGTCGATCTAGAAGGCGAGTCACTGGTACGGTCGTCAACAGATGTCACCAAGCGGCTTGTGCGGTTGTGGTCTGCGTAAAAGCAGAGATCGGCAATGGAGCTCTGGCGAGTAGAAGAGTCTCCCAACAGATGGCGCCAACAGTACTATTTATTATCAGTACAGTAGGTTTTCTATTTTTGTTAGTTTGATTTATCTTTTCTTAGGATTATCCTGGTTTCTTTAACTGGTGGGCAATAAACGCTTTTTTTCTTATTATTATTCAGAATGTGGAGCGGTTTTGAGTTTAAACCACTGAACCCAGCTGTACTGACTCTTGTTCTCATTGAAATGTATCTAAATACTGTGTATTTACATATTACCAATTCATTTCGTTCGTTTTTTATGTTCTTTTTTTTTTTTTTTTGGCTTTAGGACTAGGCCATGCAGCCAGAAACTAGGTTGGATATTTTATATATTTCTATAATTATGGACGACAAACACACGACGTCACAACATCCATGGCGAAGGCGAGATTCGAACTCGCAGCCCGGCCGGCCGGCTGATCAGTAGCACGACACTCTGACCAACGCGGCCAACCGAGGCCCCTTTTTTATGTTCTTAACTTTTCAAATTTCGTTTATCTATGCTTGCGGTTATTAAGGATATGGGCATATATAAACTAATAGTTGGCTAAAGCGGCATCTATTGGACAGTAACCTTTCCAAGGTAGATTTTTAATTAATCAGAATATGTCAACTTCATGTCGGATAATTTTTTGAACGTTTCTCTATATCTATCTATGCTAAGCTAGTTAAATATTATCTGATAATTATTGTTGGTATATCATTGTGACTATGTTGATGCCATAACGATACCTAAGAGTGATACAATCGATTTTTGTGGCGTACTGAGCTTCCTTAGCAGAATCTGATAAGACTAAAATGAGGAAACATAAGAGTAAGGACCTGTCCTGAAATGTTTCCGATCCAACATGAACGTAGACAAGACTCAAAGTTGAAGGTCCAGTTGTCCCTTACCTATACTCATTGTAAATTGTATTGTATCTCAAATATTTTGCATATTTCATTATTGTGTTAGATATGAAACTTTGTTAGCAAATGTTAGATTGCGACTCAGCACATAAAAATTCAAGGAAATTAAGACATTTGTCCTGTAACTCAACGTTGAGGTATATGCTCCTTCGCAAAGCTGATGAATATTCTATATCAACACTTACCAATAAAAACATCTGCTTCTACTACTGTCTTTTAACGTCCGCAAAAATCTCCACCGTTTCTTGGGACTCTAGAACTGTATGGACATACACCTTTTTGTGTTTCTGCAGAGAGATAGGAATCTACTGCGAACTGTCAAACTGACGGCTAAAGCCTGATCGATTTGCAGTATCCTGTACGCGTTTGCATCCTGTCTCATAACTACAATTTTGTCATCCACCTTCAGGCGTTTTTCATGTGAGATATTTCGAGCGCCGGGCTCTGAAATCTGCTTCCATCTATAATTTAATTTTCCTACAGTTTATTTCCAGCCGTCTTGTTTACAAATATTTCCTTTTCTAGGTCACCCAAAACTGAAGGCCTTCGTCACTCATGGCGGTTTGCTGAGTATGTTCGAAACGGTGTACCATGGAGTGCCGATCATCACGATGCCCGTATTTTGTGACCATGATTCCAACGCAGCTAAAGCTGAAATCGACGGTTACGCTTTGAAGCTGGACCTTCAAACTCTCACAGCCGACAAGCTCCTGTGGGCCATCAGAAAGGTTTGTACTCCTTGTATTTGTTACGCTAATAAATAACTTCCTCATATAATATCCTAGCTTCTGCGGATTTATGAAATCATCATCAAAGTGGCTCACTGTTTTCATTTCTCGTAGTGAATGATGATGAAGGTGTTCAATTTCTATCGATCACATGCCAAAAGGAGGGGGTAATACGCTATAAATGTCTGCTCTACGTCAATAAATTAACATTTTTCTAAACTGCATTTCTGAATTGTTGGAAATTATATATATATATATATATATATATATATATATATATAGGTGAAAAATTAAAGCTTCCGCTTTTTGTTGGGTACTTCGACAAAATTTAAGCAAAGAGGACTCTTTATACTTTTTTAATTCTCTCTACCTTTCAATGGACTTTGCCATCATCATCAGGAGCTGCAATTACAATGATAACAGTAGCAACAAAAGTGTAAAATGAATTTAAATTGAATCAACTTACAGTAGTATGTGAGGATGTTGCTAATTGTTGTTTTCGTATAGGATGAGGGAAACGTCCAGTAACATGGTGAGAGCTGGATACATGGTATAATGGTTAAAATTATATAAAATATGACAAGACAAGTTGAAGACAGATTAAAAATTATTTAGAAAACATTAGAGCATTACGTCGTGAAGCCACTTGATGATTGCACAAAATGGTGGTCATGGAATAATGAGTGAGATGAACCTTTGACAGAAGGCCGAAGGTTGTCAATGTATGTGTTAAAAGATGGAACGAATTGTGGGCGTGTGCCAAAACGTTGCCAAATCACTTCAGATGATGTGATTTTCAGAATGTTATGTAAGAAATTGTTAAACCGACCAGAGGCAGTTGAATAAACTATATTTTAATTGATGGGAATTTTAAATTAATAATTATTAATAAATCGTGAGAAGAGGATTATTAGATTTTGAGTGGAATGAAATATGTTGGTGGAATCGGCCAAAACACAGATTATATTTATGGTTGTGAAAAGTCGAAATTTGGGGAGATATGTAATTTCTCCAATTTTTCGCAGTTTAGCAAATATGAGTAAATGACACTCAGTTGTTTAATATCTGTCTTTTTGTTGATACAGTTGTTATTCATGGAAATGTGGGACATTTCCAGGAATAAACGTTTGGAAAGGTGTTTTTCTTTATCAAGAACTTTGATACTTGTGTAATTCATAGAATGCCCTGTTGTGTTAACATGAGATGCTAGAGCGCATCTTTCAGGATGAAGCCTAGCATCACTTTTGTGTGATGTAATCCTTCCTTCGCTTAAATTTTGTCGAAGTACCCAACAAAAAGCGGAAGCTTGAATTTTTCGCCTAACTGGTCTAGACGACAATGACCACGTCTCAAGTTATATATATATATATATATATATATATATATATATATATGTATATATATATATATATAACAAAAAGTAGAAAAATAATGGGCAAAATCCGCAAAAAAAAGGAAAGTGGATTCGAGCAGAAAATAGGATAGGTAACCCGAGCGATACGTATTTCTGCTGGTTGGCTTCATCAGGCCCGAAATGAATGCACATATGAAACTACAAAAATAGATACACATGCCCACACATCCGGATACGGGTGTAACCTGAGGAAACGACCATCGTTTCAAATAATCATCAATATTGTACTAGCTTACTACTTCATCAAGGTAAAGTCCGATGAAGCGAGATTAAAGGTCATTAAATATGACACAACTACTAATACTTTTAAATGATAATAAATAGTGTACCCATCCTATGAACTGCAGTGATACTACGTAAGAAACCTAAAAACGTTAGAAAAACTGATAAAATGTCAACTTACTGCCTAGACAGTTTCTAGTGGGAAAATAGTACATTTCGCGTTTGCTCGCTATGAGCGCTGGTGACGCCCATCTATGGAGGAATTGCGAATATTAGCCTCCATATAATATCAGTGATATTTGCTATGTGAGAAAATTATTACTGAATATGCTACACATTAAATATATCTATTAGCTGTGCTAGACGGGTTATTTGTGTTGTCCTTTCAGAAGAGAGGTGATGTTAAAAATTATAAACTGCGCACTGGGTCACATCTAGGCACTGACTTGTATTTTCTACTTGACATCCTAAAGTGAATTTGTATAAAATAAATGATTAGAAACAAAATTAAGGTGGAATGTAATAACTTTTTTACGTTTCATAAATATTCCTGTATGTACCATATTTTCTCACCTGTTAGTTTTAGTATACCTCGCCAACCAAGTATTTTCTCTTCTTATCGCTCTTCTTTTGAAAATCAGCAAATTTGCATATGTAATTTCCAGGTTTAATAAGAAAAAGCGGAAGCGTAACTAATTTTTATCTTGGCATAAGGAACCAATGGATTTATCAGCATCATAGATCACACAAATCTTCACGATGTATGTTCTGCAGTTTACTTGCAGCTATATCATACAACCTACAGCTGAGACCTCCAAGAATACAATCTGCTACATCACATCAAAGCCAAATATCGATAGCTGATGCATCTTGACGTTTAGGCAACACGTACATCTACGTGAGCATACAAAAAAAACATGTGCCATTTTTGATTTCGTTTGAGCCACGCAACAGACACCACTATCCACTACCGACTGACACTGACTGTATACAACTGAATGAAATAATTGTAAAAACATCGTTCCAAATTCTTTCGCTTTTTTGTTTCCGATGCGATGAACCGATAAGGCGGATTATATCCGTTGTCGCCATACACGAGCACATAATATTATTATTGAGACAGGGCGGTACTCAAACTTCCAAAGGGCTATAACTTTGTTACTTTAATTTTACCAGAAAAATGGTAAACGAAAAAAACATTTCTTTTGATCAGATCTACTCACTGTTAAAATAAATAGCTCAACTTCGAAGTCACCCTTCGTTATATAACCGACAAACATTTAAATCTATGTTACTCAAAATATATGAACAATAAATTTATTCTGGGGCAAACTGAACAAAACAGACAAAACGGAAATCTTTCGATTCGATATCTCGTCTTCCCTAATGTGTTTTTATTTTTAACAACCAACTGACAATACATTACTTATACTGCGCTGTGAGGTTAAGTGGTAGAGTAGCCAGCTGGCTAAACTTCGCCTCGCAGTGTGGATGGATTAATAAAGACATTATTATTATTATTATTATTATTATTATTATTATTATTATTATTATTATTATTATTGTTTTAGGTTATTGAAGATCCCAAGTACCGTCAAGAGGTCAAAAGGCGTCAACGCCTGCTGATGGACCAATCAGAAACCCCATTGGAACGTGCTGTCTTCTGGACAGAGTACGTCTTGAGACATAAAGGTGCAATGGCCCTCCAATCACCTTCAAGACATTTAGGAGTCCTGCAGTACTACCTAGTGGACGTCATCGCACTTCTGATGCTGTCCGCCCTTATGTTCTACTATGTTATGAAGCTATTGTTGAGACTAGTGACTCAGCATGCAGTGAATAGTTATAGTTCGGACGCTTGCGAAAGGAAAAAAGTGGAATGATTGATAGTTGTGAGCTTAGTGATTGTAAATAAAAAAATGACACAGATACGAGTTGGTATATTTTTTAGTAAGATTGCGTCAAGAGGTGGCTCAGTACCTAACAACATATTAATATGAGTCCACTTGCACTTCTCTGAAAATCTAAATTCAAACGCGTTTTTACTTCCCACGCCACTGGTACTGGTCAGAAAATATTAAAATGCTTTATGAGATGTACACCAGGAACACTGCGATTCAGTCAATTTCCACACACGATTACTAAACCAAGGAAGAAAAATCTTTGAAATTTTGAAGGTCGATCCAGTAGCGGCGGAGCTAAGGGCAAAAAAGAAACAAATAAATATTGCTCATCCAGCCAGTAACATGCAAAATCCTTTATCTGCCGAGGGCCGATGTAAGGATACAAGGGGGTACGGAAGCTGTCCAGATAATATGCAGAATATAAAGCAGAGCCGATTATTTCAACAAAAAGTTAAATTAACTAATTATATTTATTCTGTATCAGCAACTGTAGGAGTTTCCATGGCCAGCCAATAGCAGAGATACCTGAACGAACGAAAGTTGAAACATGATACGTGCTAGAATATTTGAGTGGACTGAATGCAGTGTGTTCCAAAGCGAGATGAAAATAGAAAAGTTCCAAATTGATTTTGTATTAATAGTCGTACCATATCCTTGATATCACGTATCTTAGAGACTATTGAGCGGATTTAATTGAAATTTTGTACAATAACAAAATTACATAGGACTATCGTAAAACTATTCACACGGCTGAAAAATGCTTAAATTTTCTTTACTTTTTTGTTTCTTTATCTAAAACAACCTTTTGTGCTGAGTATTGAAATTTTTGACTAGGTACAACAGAACCAATGAATGGGTCTAATTAATTCTGTTAATTATCAATTTTATTTCATCAAAATTATTTCAAAATATTGCTTGAAATTGAGCCTAAGGTGTTTTGGGAACTCAAAATTCTAGGATCGAAGAAAACGCATAATATTTTCAGCACAGTTACGTTTAAGCCCGGTCCTGCATTCTACGTTTTTGCCTGGAAGGTATAATTTAGTGGAGTTGCATATTAAATGTCGTTTTCTTTTTTAACTAGTACACTAACAGTTGGTAGAATTAAACCATTAAGAAATTTACCGAAAAACTTCGCCTTTTTTATTCATTTATTGTTGTATTTTTCTAAGAAATAATAATAAACTCACAGTGCAACTTACAAAAAAAAAATAAGTCGGGACTTAGAATTTTGAGTTCCCAACACACCTGCAGTTCAATTTTAAGCATTATTTTGTGTAATGTGAATGAACTCAAGTTGATATAAATATTTGAATGAATAAAAAATACAACTAAAACACCAAGGGAGGTGAACTCATTTTACTTTCCTAATATTTCATTGTCTGGCTTCAAATATGTTGATTTTGATAGGATATAGTATCGTTGAAGAAATCGAGTCCGGCCCTGGATTTTAAAACCGTCTTTCTAGTCTCACGTTACTCCTATACGTCTTCGTTGTCGTGACAAATTTCAATGAAATCGGTTCAAATACTTGGAGTGTTTAAGTAAATTAGTAAAAACTGTATTTAAAAGTTCTCGTTTTCAGAAATGTAAAGGGCTTGGTTCATACTATCTGCCATTACACTATGTCCATTTGATTACGAAACACCCATTGGGACCTACATTTCGCGAGCATGTCCGGAATTTCAATTTGTCTAAATCAATATTACTGTTTTTCGCTGATACTCGTTCACCAAACTATAGCCTTACGACAAGGTACATGAGTTAACATAACAAGTAGTAGGTAGCAAAGATACCAATACGCGTACTGCATGGTCGAAGTCCATTTAATAATAATAATAATAATAATAATTTATTGATGTTAATAGACAGAAAGTGTTTACACAAGTCAATATATACTAATAGAACGCTTAGAAAAATCTACATCAAACAAAAATAAAACAAGTTAAAAACAATGCAATGCTGCGAACGCATAATTACCAAAAGCAAATTAAAAAAAAAACAATACAAAAATGTCGTGATGAGATAAAAGAAGATCGCTTAGAAAAATATATGTATAATACAATTAACTATACACATACAGACAAATTAAACAATAACAACTGTACATAAGTTGGAGAGAGAAATGAATAAATAAACATTTAAGGTATATCAGTAAAGTCATTTGCCAAATATTCGTCCGTGCTAAAGAATGCGTTTTCTATTAAATAATACTTGAGTTTCCTATGAAAATCATCAATATCCAATGTTTTTTTGTAAAGAATTGCATGCGATGTATAGAGTCAATCTACCTGACGCTGTTCTTTAAGGCGATAGCAAATTACTAATCAATACAAGGAGCAATAAGGCAATACAGGGTGTCCGCAAAGTAGGGGTTTTCCTTTACACGACGTGTATATCTTGAAAACATAAGCAATTTTTCTTAGTACCATATACACCAATGTCTTAAGGGAACCGAGATAAAGGGCTCTGCAACATCAAAAATATCTGAAACCGTCCTGTAGCCGCGAGATCCCCGAGTGGTACTAGGACACTAGCTCAACCCGACGACTGAACTGGGTCGGGGTCAGTGTGTCAGGTCAGTATGCAACCTTCAACCGACGGTTACGGTCACGCGTCTAGAGGTAATCGCGTAGACGAGAATCCCTCAACAAGCACTAGAGACGTGGCTAGAGAAGTGCAAGTATCAAAAACTAAAGTGTGGCAAACGCTGCGTGAAGAGGGGCTGTATCCGTTTTACGTCCAAGGTGACGATTTTCCAGCAAGAGTGCTGTTTTGTGAGTGGTTGTTGCATCAACATGACAATAATCCGGACTTTTTGAAGTGCATATTGGTGACAGACGAATCTACGTTCACGCGTAATGGGGTGAATAACTTTCGCAACACATGTTTGGTCAGTAGAAAATCCGCACGCTGTCCGTCGGGCACATTTTCAACAAACATTTTCGGTGAATGTTTGGGCTGGCATAGTGAACGGTATGCTCATTGGACCATTTATTCTCCCAAATCGATTAGACGGGATGCAATACCTAGACTTTTTACGCAACATTTTGCCTTCCTTGTTTGTCTGCGTCTGCTCGGTAGCGCATCAGCAGGTTTCATTGTCTGTTGGAGCGGTATGATTTCGGGCAGAGACGTACTTAGCCCTTCTCGTCAACTGGAGAGTGAGTACTTTTTCCTTCATTTTTTTTACTTGGTCGCCCTCGTTTCACTACACATTACCTTTGTTATTTCAAGGGTAGTTGTTTCTGAAAAGGAAAACCCCAACTTTGCGGACACCCTGTATATTCAGCTAGATCGACTCAGTAGTTCTCGCAAACTAATTACAAAAATATTTAAAATTTTAAGTACACGAAAATTCCAAACACCATTGATGGTAAGTGAAGTATCATAAAGGCCTATTTTCGATATCTTGGACCTTGTTTTCCATTTTTCTTTTCGTGAAAGTTTGGAGAATCAAACAACAAGAGGTATTCTGTCGCCCCATATATTTTAGTACATTGATCACAATAATTATTTTGTACACACGTTCATAAAATGAGATACATTTCTTACAGAATTACTTCTACTACTAGAAAACTAATTGATATTTCAACCTCATTTGAAGTCAATTCGTAGGGAATCCTTGAATAATCACCGATCTAATATACACACAACTACCTGTCAAAAAATATCACGGCTTGGGAGTCAAGACACACCCACACTCATACAAAAAGCCATCCAGTTTGTAGCATTTTCAAAATTCTATTGTAACGCTCACAAACTCACGTACTAAAGTTACCAGAGCTTGGTAGCTTTGAACAAGGCTGGGAGGACTCAAAACCACTAATTAAATGGATATGCATACTTATGCTCTTCAAAACACAATCTCTTGCTCGGTTATTATCGTTTTCTCATTTTTAATACTGCAGCTAGTATTCCAAAGGTAGCCCAAAAGAATTTGTATAATAGCGAACTATGTGTGCAGTATAAGGGTGCCTGGCCGACAAATTTTGCTGGAATTCTGCTAAGCTACATCTCACATTCTGAATGAATCAGAAACTAGTCTGCGGTAATGTATCTAAGGACCCTTTAATTACCGTTATCCCTAAAAAAATCACAGCCGACTGGATTGTATTAAAAAACTATATTCTTTCAAAGAAAAACATACTCATGTAGTTGTGATGTGGTACACATGTCAAAATGCCACCCAATGCCATTGTTCGCCACTTACCAGACAAACTTCTCAGATGTTCTATTTTACATTTCGGAATAATATTGTGCTTTATTTATAGAGTGCTCGTAATTATTTGAACTATCTCTTTGAATAGCATTACAAGAACCTATCATTTTATTTCTTTTAAATGTTATATCTGCTGAACTCATGGCCACTAAGAGCTGGATTGTCATGCCCCTTCTGTTCCATGCCATTTAAAGTGGCGATAAGGACATTTGTGCTTCTCGTTACTTCCTCATTACCTCCGTTGCTTGGTTCATGACTTGGAGTGACTCTGATACTCTTTCTGTTCTTGTAATAGCCGTACGCTCCATATGCTATTGCTACAAGTGATGCCAGTAGCCCTACACAGTTCAAAACCTTCAGTACCTTCAACGCGATGAAGATCGTTTGCACCTTTTTGAGTAAAGGGCCCTCTAGCACAATGCCCTAGAAAAACAAAAACATGCTTCATTTATCCCACACTAGTCGGAAACTGAAAAAATATTAATGACACTGCTGTCCTCCTATGAACTCATCAATTGTGCTCCTTTGGCAAATGAAGAGATATATAGATATAAGATAAACGTTACAATTTTAAAAAAGCAGACTTCATCTCACTTTACAGCAGCCTGCTGGATACAAGCTGGGAGGTCTTGGTAGATATATATGACGTAAATGCATCTGTGGATATTTTTTGTAAAACATTATACCAAACATTTGATGACCATGTGCCACTTCATAAAGTTTTTCGTCATATATATCCCGTGTGGTAAACAAGGGAAGCTATCAAACTTGTTAAGCATAAGTCAAAACTACACAAAAGGCATAA